CTTCCTAAGTTTTTCCCTAACTGCTATGTTACCGCAAAAGCAAACTGTCTTAAGCCGCCGTCTCAAATTTATCACTTTCTAAACCGCAAACTAGTTTCTCGCCCTCGATAAGGATGGCAAAGAATATCGAAGATTGGAGCAGATTTAGGCCAAGGTTTTGATCAGCGATCATATTAGTCAAAGTAAAATGCGTATCTTTGTCTTTAAAACCACACGTGATTAGAGTCGTCTATTGTGGTATGCAAATCAGCAAGGTTTTCATCAGCGATCGTATGATTTAAAGTAAAATGCGTGTCCCTGTCTGAAAAGAAAATTGTCTTTTTTTCCATGAATGAAAGGCAATCAAGGGAGAGGATTGGAGCGGAGTTTATAAGCGAGGTTGCTATCAGCGATCGGAAAATTCCAAATACAATGCGTCTTTATACGTAAAAGAGCAAAATATGCAACTTGCAGTTTTCACACTTGAATAGTGTCAGTGAAATAATAACGGGCTCCAAATGAGTCGGGGTGCTTTTGTTTCTTAGAGACATAAACAAACTCATTATTTTCACGGTTGAGCACGAGAAGGGAAAACAAAGTTAGCGGCAATGATCTTGATATCGATCAGGTGAAAATAAAATACTCAGTAAACCAATCTGACTCGAAAGATTTTAATTCATTTTGATTGAATTGACCAGCATCACCACTTCTTGCCAAAGTTGTTATCAGCAACAATGATAGTGAAACCTTAAACTCAAATTTACCCCTTTCTAAAACGCGAACTAGTTTCTCGCCCTAAGGGACGATGGTAGCAAGGAATATCAAAGATTGGAGCGGATTTAGGCCAAGACTTTGAGCGATCGGATCAGTCAAAATAAAATGCGTGTCTTTGTCCACACGTGATTCGAGTCGTTTGCTATAATATGCAAAATTAGGAAGGTTTTTATGTGCGATGGTACCATTTAAAGTAAAATTCGTGTCTCTGTCTGAAAAGAAAATAGTTTCTTTTTCCATGAATAAATAGTGGATGGCAGGCACGAGAAAAAATTGGAGCGGAATTAAAGGCAAGGTTGTCATCAGAAAACTCAAAATAAAATGTGTCTTCATATGGAAAAGAGAAAAATATGCAACTTACAATTTTCACACTTGTTGGAGGCGCGGTGGACTCATGGTTAATGCGCTCGACTCCGGATCGAGTGGTCTGGGTTTGAGCCCATGCCGGGTACATCGTGTTGTGTTCTTAGGGAAGAAACTATACTCTCACGGTGCCTCTCTCCACCCAAGTGTACTAAATGGGTACCGGCGAATTTAGTGCTTTCTAGCATCCCATCCAAGGTGGGGGGGGGGAAGAAATCCTCCTAGTCGCTTCATGCTACGGAAACTGGAGTTAACCGGCGGCCCGATGAGCCATATGGCTCCTGAGTAGGCTTTACCTTACCTTTTAATTTTCACATTTAAACAGTGTCAACGAAACAATAAAGGGCTGCAAGTGACTCCAGGTGCTTTTGTTTGTTATAGACGTATGGAAACTTATTGTTTTCACGGATAAGCATACGAAGGGAAAAAAGTCAGTGGCAATGTTCTTGATGTCGTTCAGGTGAAAATAAAATACTCGGTGACCAAGATGATACGAAATATTTTTATTCAATTTTCTTGAATTGACCTGCCTCACTACTTCTTGCCAAAGTTGTGATCAGCAACAACGATAGTGAAACCCTAAAGTCTAAGGGTGTTTATACTTGTCAAAGAGGTCGAAAGGTGATTTGATTTTGTTTTGAACCAACCCAAAATTGGAATGTTCTTAAGGTGCCCCTAAATGTTGTTACCGCAAAAGTAAAATGTATTAAGGCGCCGGTCTCAAATTTACCTGCTTCCAAAAAGTTAACTAGTTTCTCGCCTTAAGGGACGAGGATGGAAAGGAGTAGCAGAGACTGGAGCGAGTTTAAGCTAAAGTTTTAATCAGCAAATGCATCAGTCAAAGTAAGATGCGTGTCTTTGTCTTTAAAACCACACGTCGAGTCGCTTATTTTGGTATGCAAAATTAAAAGGTTTTGATCAGCGATCGTACTACTTAAAGTAGAATGCGTTTTCTTGGGTGGAAAGAAAATTTCTTGTTGAAAGAATAAAAGAGGATGGCAAAGAAGGGAAAAGCTCAGAGCAGATTTCAAAGCAAGATTATGATCAGGAATGGTATTAGTCAAAGTCAAATGCGTGTCTTTATCTTTAAAACCAGACGTGAATGGAGTCACGCAAAATTAGTGGTGGTGCGCAAAATTAGCAAGAATTTGATCAGCGATCGTACTATTTAGAGTAAAATGCGTGTTTGTGTCTGGAAAGGAAATGGTTTCTTGTTTCAAGAATGAAAGAGGTGGAGAGGGAAGGGAAAAGATTGGAGCGGAATTTATAAGCAAGGTTGTCATCAGTGAACGGAAAATTCAAAATAAAATGGGCCTTCATAGGTTCAGTTAAAGGTGACTTTTGACACTATTGAGGTTTTGTAAGAAATCACCTTTAGCAAACTTTGTCCCAGTACATCTTTAATCAATCACTCGAGATGGGTATGCGGAATCTTCGTTAATCGATACATCCTGCATTTAGGCCCTTGCTTAATTAAAAAAATTTAAAGCAAGTCCATTCAAGAAAATGAAATAGATATAATGGCATCGGCCTGGTTTCCAGGGAAATTTATTGAAACTTCAAGGACATCATAAACATTGCCGTTAATTTTATTTCAAGTAGATCAAACCATTGCCGTTAATTATATTGCCTCATCTTTATTCGAGGGTGGAAATTGTGAGATTGCACACGCCTCTAACAAACAAAAGCACCACGACACATTTGCAGCCTTTTATTGTCTCGCTGTCACTTTTTTAAGTGTCAAATTTGCAAATTGCATATAGCTCACTGCTACGTACCTAGACGCATTTGACTTTGAATGGTCGCTCGCTGAAAAGAACCTTTTAAACATCTGTTACAGTCTCTACTACTCCCAGCCATCCTTGTTCCTTGGAGTGAGAAACCAGTTTTTTTTTCCACATAGAGTACATTTTGAGACAGGCGACTCAAAACACTTTGAGTGAGGGTTAACATAAGGATTAGCATTAAGCTTGAAAACGGTATGAATGCCTGTTGTTTGAAAATAAAATAAACCTCTTGTGGACTTCTTTTACACATATAAACACCTTTAGACTCGAAGGTTTCACTATCCTAGTTGATTATTTTAAATTCTGTAGTCATCAGAGTCGTCAAGGGTACAGCCTTGGCGTTTCAAGGCCTAAAGCAAGTCCATTGTGGTAACGGTCTTTCCTAGGGCATGATGGGCGTAGATCACACCGTCATGGATATCTTTTTCCGACAAAATTGTAAGGACTCCTCGAATCTTGTCGTACAAATGCCCTGAGGTGCATTTAACACCGCCCTGTCCCGTCGGATTGCTGGCTTTGTGATTCCATGGATGTCGTGTCGTAGAATTTTTGTAGGACTTAGGATAACATCCCGAAATTATGGTCCTGACCAATTGAACACAACAACACAACAACACTGGTTTATTGGAACTGTAAAATGACGTTACTTACAAATTAAATGACAAATAAATTAAAAATACATATAGTTGCTGGTCACCCAAAATAACTAAAGAGCTAAACTAGTTGGGTGACAAATTAAAAGAGAGTCCATTTAAACAAATGAAATAAATTAAGTTGGGCTCGGCTTGGTTTTCTGGCATTTTTATGAAACTTCAACAATAAAATTTGATGTTTTGGCAATTACTGAAACTCGTCTCCATTACAGAACCGAAAACGCCAATGTTTATATTCCAGACTACAAAACCGCTAGACGTGACAGGACGGACGGTCGGAAAGGTGGAGGATCCTTAATTTATTATGCCGAGGCCCTAAATGCCTACCATTTGAGTGAATTGTCCTCTAATTCATCTCTAGAAGCTACCTGGATTAATTTAACTCTCCATTCTCAGCGACTATTGATTGGTTCTGTCTACAGACCCCCTGACTGCTCTTCTTTCTTCCACGATTTTTCCGTGGGAAAGGAAAACTTATGGCGAAATACATCCAACATCATCTTATTGGGAGAGTTCAATATCAATTTATCATCCTCGTGTGACTGTTTTTTAAAATAGGAAATTCACGAGTCTACTTAGTAAACTCAATTTAAAGGATGTAATCGCCGTCCCCACCAGAGTCACCGGTGATGCATCCACGCTGATTGACCTGATTATTACCTCTGTTCCCTCCAAGATTTCCAGTCATGGTGCCTGCAATCCTGGAATACCTGACCACCACCTGTTTTATACTGTTGTAAATTTGAGAAGGATTTCAGAAAAACCTGAATTAAAGCTAGTCCGGGATTTTAATAGAGTTGACGCCAAAGCCCTTCAACTTGAATTCGCCTCTGCTCCATGGCTTATCTGTGATATCTTTGATGATTATATAAGTACACCATCGACAAATATATCCCTTTTAGACAGGCTAAACTTAGATCTAATAGTCTGCCCTGGATGACTTTATCCTTGAGAAAAGAGTTGAATAAAGGCTCAAAAAACGCCAAGAGGATCTCATGAGTGGTTGGCTTACAAGAAACAAAGAGACTACTCTACTAAATTGTTAAGATCAGCTGAAATTTCTTTCTGGAGTAACAAACTCACCAATGCCAAATCCAGTAAAGAATTTTGGAGACTAGTCAAATCCTTCCGAGGTAACAACAAGTGCTCTACCATTGGCCCTGTGAAATCCCCAACTGATTCACTTCTAACCGAAAATCTTTGGAAGGCAAATGAATTCAACTCCTATTTTACCAATATATGTTCAACTCTGGCCAATACTAACAACTCATCCACTCAACCAGTTAACCACATTTACAGAATTATCCCTACTCTACATTCATCTTCTGTCATTAAAGAGCTCCTATCCTACTGTTTCAAGCATTACATCAAAGTGAGAAAAGCCTGTGGCCCTGATAAAATCACTGGCACAGAAATACAAATGTTGTGTGATG